TTGAAGATAATTTTAATTGAAAATCCTATAACCTTGATGCTATATTTATATATACTAATATCAATCTAGTTATATTTTGGATATAATTTATTTATAATTAAATTTAAGATAGGTTTTAATACTAACCATTATTGTTAAATTCAATTTTCCTTTTTTGTTAAGTTAATTAATGGTTAAGTAACTTTTTATATCTAAAATTTTATTATATAATTTTTGTTTATTATATAAATTATCACAATTATATTTTTGTAATTCTTATTTATAAAATTTTAATCAAAAATAAACAAAATTTTAAGACAAATTGTTTTTAAGGTCTTTATATATAAAATAGTATATAAAATATACAAATTTGATATCTTTTTATAGAATATAGTATTTTTAAAAATGTCAACTATTTTTATTTTTATTTGCTAGATTATTCTTCAGTTTATAAAATCTTGTTACAAAAAATAGGTTATCAATTACATTGAAGTTAAAGCTTTTGATAAAATGCATTCTTGAAAAAGGTATAAATATATTTATTCTTTTTAAAAATATTTATCTGCTAATTTTTTAATAAAAACCATAAATTTTTTTTAATAATTTAATCAAGTAACCTTAAATTGATTCTTTTAATTATTTTTAATAAACAATAATTTTACTTTTATATAATTTTATTGAGTTACCAAAAATAATTAATCTAAATATTTTTGTAATTTATTATATTTCAAATTTTTTTTTGTTTTTTATATTCTCAAAATTAATAAAAATTTTGATATATATATATATTTCATAATAATTGTTCTTGTACACTAGTTAAAATATATATATATTGTATATATAGAAATATGCTTTAAGTTTTGAATATGAAATAATATAGCTATGTGACTTTTAATTTCTGCAAATTAGTTCAAAAGACTTTATAACAACCTGTATATAAATTAAATAAACTTTTGATAGAATTATAGTTTAATGTTTAAAAACTTTATTAGTTTAATAAAATTTCAAATTCCAAATTCCAAATTTTAAAAAAGAAAAATCACATTGGTTTTCATTAAATACTTTTAAATAGATTTGATTGTTGAATTACTAAAGAAGAAATCACATATAAATAAATGTTATAAACATAAAAATTGATATTAAAAATTTTATGAAAAATAATTTTTTTATATGATAAATGGGGGGTTTTTTTTTGGATTATTTCTACTTATATGATTAATCGTTCTTAGGATTCAATCCTGAATGATCCCCGATAATTATGACAAATCGGTCAGCATCATGTATAATTCCGGCCAGGATTATTGCAGACAAATTTGACCCGGTTTGTAACAAGTTATACGGTATATAATTCCGGCCCGAATTATAAAAATTGGATCCTAAAATAATTCTGGGATAGCGGTCCCGTCCGGACCGGATGGACCGATTAACATGAATATTCCAAGGATAAATATAAATATGCGTATCTTTATTTTAATAAAAAGTTTTGCGATAGATGTATAGAAACCAACATGATTTATCATTAGCACTATATATAGTATATACTACATGTGTCATGCTATTCATATATTTTATGCAAAGTTAGAGTTTCAAAGTTGTCAAAAAAAAAAAAAAAAGTTCAACAGTCCAAATACTATTCGTGAATGCATGATAAATACGGATTAGATAATTTTTTTTTTCCATGCTTGCAATTTCTTATATGAGACAAATTCCGGAAATGGAATATGCCATCGAGGTCAACTCAACATGTCTTTCCCCTCAAGCCTGTGAATGTATAAAGTTAGGTGCCGCAAGGATCAATTAATCTTATCATCCTAGGGGTATGTACTCGCAAGGACCATTGGTGTATGGCAAAGAAACATTGGGTTACAATTCGGGAAGCAAAACACCTTTCTGATTCACGCGAATTTGATCTCGTGCAAGAAACCTCTCTTTGATGATGATGGAGAGCATATTCGTCGTGCTATCCAGATTATGGGGAACGGATGATGTGCCTTTCACCCTATCAACGGCTTTTCACATCATTTTCGTGCATATAGAATCATACACCACGTGTTCTATTATATTGTGGAGACCAATCTTATGGCTTCGAATCGATCACATACGGCACACGGGTAATAACCTCACGACCAAAGTTTCACATGCTCGAATTCTCGCAACTCTTTCACGCGATTATTATGCAAAGTTTAAGAAAAACTCAATGTTTGTGTAATTTCTTTTCTTTTAATAGATAAATAGAAATCACATTGTATTATTTTCTAGAGGGCAAGGTGGTGGTCGTTGCGTGTGAAAAGATTTGCGTTACATATAGTAATGATGAGTATCACAGGACAGAATTATTCATGTGTGTGTATCACTGTTGAAAAAATCTCACGCATTCTGTTTTTTGTCTTAATTCCGGACTCGTACGTTCATCTGTGTAGATCCTTGACGTCCTTGGAGCATTGTTTTTTCCTATAACGTCATGTCACAATTTATGCTATATATCACGTACAAAAGAGAGTGGGAAGTTTTTATAAGGTTCACGGACGCAGTGAGGAGGGTTCCTCAAGTTCGGTGCTTCGAGAATTCGTGTAATATCCGACCCATTCCCTTTTTTGGACTTCCTGTAATATAATTCCCCACCAGTTGTTAAATTTTCATTCGAATTTACCAGAAATAGAATTTCTCAATCTCTCAAAGTGCACGAGGATAGACACATGCGATAATTATCATCCACGACATTTATTCACCTATCGTGCTCGTAGAATTTTTTGGAAGTGACACAAAGATTTTTAAGGCCCGTTTGTGATCCCCCCTTTTACTTTACAAACAAAAACCATGATGACCCCTGAGTCCGGAAAGCAACAACGGAATCGATAATAATAACATTTATTATTATCATTATTACGTAATCCCGACGCCAACAGTGTGATGGCAAAAACGCGTGGTCGGTGAAATTGTTTTGATCGGGTGCATCAGAGCATCAATTCAATAATGCCCTGATGATATCCTACACCCTGTACTTTTACCAAAAATAATTATTTATCACGCAAAATGTCGAAATTTCGGTGTATACCGAGAACTAGTTAGATGACAGCTTGTTATTGTGTAAGCATCATTACCGATCGACGATCTTTTTTTAATGGACCTCCTTTACAGCGGGCAGGCTTGTGGGAGTTCCGAGCACATGATTAACCGAGCACCGCAAACACGGTAGGCAACGAGTGTACTTGAAGGACGATTGATTCAAAAAAAAAAAAAAAGAGATCGAAAATTTCTTAAAATTCCGGTTTCAAGGCACGTTTTTCCAGCAGGAGATCTTTTTAATCTGATTACCCTTCCAAGCACTACGCATTATTTTATCATTTATTTACTGTGTTAAGAGATCGGTCATTTCCTAAATACAGGAGAAAATCCCTATCATACTAAACGTCATTACATCACCACTCCGACAACATGGCGTGTGCTTTCTCCGAAAGTTTTGAGTGTTGATAATTGGTTCCGACAATCTCCCGTAATTCTTGTTCTTATCTGCGGGGATGGACAAAAAATCGCAGATTATTATTAATTGTGTCATAAACATATTAACATTTAGTGCGCACACAGAGAAAATAAAGTGGATTAATAAATTATGTGAACATCCATCCAATTAGGGTAAGGTCAAGCGGGATCGTCTAGATTTGTATCGACTAATTATTTGTGCAACAAAGATAAAAAATGAATTACGTATTACGGTATGTTCTCGGCAGGATTTCCCACTTTTCTTGTTTTTGAATTGTGTCATCAACTCTACCATATCTGCTTTCTTTCTTTCCTTCTTTTTTTCTTATTTCTTAAGGCACAGGCGTTTGCCCTCCGGATTTTATCTCCCTCGGATGGCACATCCCATTTCTTGACGACATAGCATATACAGCATATATACTGTATATACTTATTATTGTACGCAGGATTCAACCAATCTTTAAAAAGGATGCACATACCAAGTGAAACGAATCCGTTTAAGGTTAGATTGTCGACTTGCCAAAAATGTGAGGTGTCGACTTATGGTGCTTCTTTAAGACAATACATGCCTGCGATAATTATGATAAGAGCTAAACGTAATATGTACCGGTAACAATCATTCATTCATCTCGTGGTTTTCTTATTTACCTATTTAATTATTATTATTATTATTTTTTTTTTTTTTATCACAAGAATCGCCGTCACTCTCGTTCGTGGCTTAAAACGTGATCATTGTTTTTCATTTAGGAACGCACCAGAATACTGGAAAAGTAGGTAATGTCGTGCCCTTTCTATTTCCGGTTAGCTCTCTTTGTTGTGCAGTATGAAGCCTTTTGCAGGATTCGTATTACAAACATTCTTTTGCACTATGATATTTCTTGCATAAAACATAACCATCTGGGCACAATACAAAAAAAACCTTGCTAACTAACTTGGTACAGAATTAACACGTACTTATGTACATACATCCGTTCATTCATCGCCACACGCATTTGCAGGATTTCGAGGGGAGCGTGATTGGAGGGTCTCTTATATGGAAAAGAACCTGTGCCTTAACCTGCGCACCCTATCACACACACCTAATCATATTACCCGAAAGGCGGCAAAGGTTGAAGTCGAAAAAAATTTTTTTTTACTTTGCATGCGCGTGCCCTCTAGTCTAAAATTTGCTGGGTGAAGAGAATTAGAGACATAAGGCTAGAGGGATTCCTTAAATAACGAGTACACCTGTTATTATTGTGTTGTATGACCCTACGATTCGTCAGAAAACCGGTTACGCCGGTATTCTTCACACCGCAAATGATAATTGTGTGAGAAAATTTTCACACCTACCTTTCCTTATCAAAAAATATCGCAATTAAGGTTTTTCTTTTATTTATTTGTCGTGAGCATCCAAAGAGAATCGCTCCTGCTGATATTCGGCTCCCACGCAATCGAGAATCCCGTGACCTCTTCTGCAAGCCAGTAACGACTGCCCTTTGCATTTCCGCCTTGCGTCATAATTTCGTATGTATGCCACCCCACATTTAACTACTAAGCTCTCATTCGCCATCACCTCTCACTTCTTGAAATAACGTGGGCGTCAGGAATAAGCGCTGCTGCAGTAGTGGACGAGATCTCAAAGATGACCCTTTGCGCTCGTCAGAATTTCTTGTCATAGAATGAAGTAGAAGTATTGGACGAGATCTCAAAGGTGGCCCTTTGCGCTCGTCAGAATTTCTTGTCATAGAATGAGGAACTTTCTGGCTTAGTTTTGATCCATCCTAAGTTTCTGATTATAGTTCGGGCGTAAAATTAAATCACGTATGTAAGGAAGTTGGGAATAGTGAAGTGGAATATTTTCTTGATTCTTTCAAGTTCCATTGATTTGCCCCCCTTCCCAATGAAGAAGCGCATTCGTGAGAACGCATGTTTCCTAACAATCCAGCCGACGGCACACATCGTACGATATGCGAAGCTTTCAGAGGGGTGCGGCGAGAATCCAAATGCAATTTCACGAGTCCCGAGTTACGGACGGTCATTGGACGAACGGTTTCTTCCTAATGCGAAGGTGGTGATTCTATAATTTTTAGGTTCAATTATAATAGGCTTAATTAGGTTCTGTATGATGTGTCGGTTATGTACTGTATGTGTAAAAGTTAACAAATTTATTGTATAATGCAAATAAATAAATAAATAAATAACCTTTCTCTGTCCATGATGTTGAGAACAAAACGGCATTCTCGGAACCGGATGGTATCACCATGCGTCCGTTCAAACTAGGTAATCAAGGTAGGTTAAGGATCGAACTACATTACGCGCACATTTTCCAATATCACGGCTTCTGACATCGTGAATATCGTGTGACTCTGAGGAATCGAACAAACATAATCATTGTTTCATGCATAATGTGAACCTCAGAATTGGTTAACGAAAAACGTTGAAAGTGATCTATCTCTATCTAGCTGATTGGCATGTAAATATCGACTGCCAGACACAGGTCAATCGTTAAAAATTTTAAGCGACGACAGTTGATGAGGCTTTGTTTTTGTTTGTCTTATCTTGTGTGATGTGCAGTACATGGTGTATTATACTGCACATAATTTATAGTAAAGCTCAGGCGAGGTGAAGAGCAATTTTTACGTAATGCACATGAACGTCGATGCCACCTGCCGAGGAGTTTTGTCTATTACGCGGCACTGGCACTGGAACGGTGTGCGACGTGGGTGCAGGAACGAACGATTTCGTGCGTCTCAATTGGACGATGGCGAGAGATCAATGAAAAAAAGGTAAATGAACGGTGCTGCACACGTACGAATTACGTGCGTGCCATTGTGAAAGACGCTTATGCGCAGAGATGTATGATTATTTTCATTCACACCTCGCCTGTCATCACCAGATCCAAATCCAAATATAGGAAAAAATAGAGAGAGATTCGGGTCCACCCATGTGACAACGGACTGCAATGGATTTTTTTTTTTTTTTTCGCTTTAAACAAATAGACGCAGAGTGAATGCGACCCACCAGACATCCTGTTTAGATAAACTGTACGTTGCACATCATATGTACAAGTTGATGAGAAATTCGCTTGGGATAACTTGTTTTGTGTTCATTATAATCCCAACGCTTACCACAGATGATTTGTTCCGCTCGATCCTTTTTATTCTTAGAACGGGATCTGATTTACCGTCAGACCGGATCCACGGCTGCGAACGGATGCTCGGTTTTCATTCAGCAATTCTAACCTTATTAAAACTGGTATCAAAACTGATTTAACATTTTGAACACCAATACCTTGCATCATCGGTCATTTTAAGGTCAAATCCGAACATTCCCACAGAAAAAACTTAACACGCAATTAATCTCGTACCTGAATATCAATTTTTGGTCGTTACAAATCTTAATCATCACCGTCGTCGTCATCGAAATTCGCGATGCTTGATTATTTCATTCGACCGAATAATCCAAAGAGGTGTGACAAAATTCGGCGTCAGTACAATCAATCTCTCCGCTAAGTTTCACCAGCGGACAAACTTTAAAAGTTTTTTTAAAAAAGGTAATATTTACAAATTAGCATGCATGAGGTTTTATTTTGTGCCTATACTTCAAAATTACGTATAGTGTATAATGTATGGCTTTATAAAAATTAGGGGTTCAAGTTCAATTCAGAAAAAAAAAAAAAAAAAAAAAAAAACCTCATCATTATCATCATCATTATCATCATCATTTTAATGACACGTATAAATAAACCGGTTTTCAGAGCATGGTTCCGAGGCAGGAAAATATACGCATCCATCAAAAAAAAAAAAAAAAAAATTGTGACAAGAGACATAGATATACAGTATATAATTTTTTTTATGTTGCCACTTCCACCGCACAGTAAATAAAAAAGAAGTCGCCATTATTAGATTATTTATTTACGTTACTATACATAATTCTGAATACTCTGAAAAAAGATTTTATGTGTATACATATATACATCTATATATACGTATATATATAACGTGGTTCAGGTCTATTGTTTGCAATTTTTGATTTCTCTCCTCTTGCGAGTCTCCGTCACCACGAAGCCTGTCTGGCACTAAAACACCACCTGGCTTTACTTGACCTGGATAATAATATCATCGCAACATAACCGCGATAATATAAATACCGATTGTTCTTTTCAAGGAAAATCGAGGACAGAGAGGACTCTTTCCAAAAAGAAAAAAAATCAGTGACAGACAACAACAAAAATAATAATAATAATCATCTCGCCTTTTCGATATCATTCGGTAAACTTCTGGTGGGACCAAAGTATATTAGGCACAGAAAAAAAAAAAAATCTAAAGCTTTATCAACTCTCATCACGCAGGATATTGCCATAAACATGTCAAACATATTAACCATAGGTTTCAACTTCTGGCGTTCCACGATACTCCTCTTTTTTAGGCTAATCCTAACCTTAGTCGAAGTTTTATTCAGCGGTGCAATAATAAAAAACATAAGCTACCTAACAGAATCGTTGGACTTTTCCACATCCATAAATAACGTCCAAGAAGTCAACATTCACCCACGCAAATATACCAACATCATCAGTGGCAATGCTTCCAATAGGTCACACAGCCTACCGCCGACGACATCACGTCACGGCAAGAAGAAGAGGCGACAGCAACTACGCAACCCCACGACCAATTCCGATGCGGGTCCGAGTAACAAAAAACTTTCGGAAGATCAAAAGCGTCGATGGATTGAAAAATCGGCCGCAAATTCCGAAGAGAGATCCCTTGCCGATAATTCGTCCTCTGTGAGTTCAACTTCTCGAGACGAAAGGAAAAGAGACCAATCATCCGTGCCCATGAGAATTCGTCAAGCGACAAAGTATCACCAATCGTTTCCGCGCATTGACGGCACTGCGAATTCCGTGTCAATAATGAAATCGAAACCTGTCAAGATCACCATACGTCACATGCCTCCAGAGATAATGTTGTGCATATTTGATCTCTTACCGCGCAAAGACATTTACACCTGTCTTTTCGTTTGCAACCTGTGGAAGGCTTTGGTCACACCTATCCTATACAGGGCTCCTCAAATCTACCATCAATTCTCCTCTTCCGTCGCATCAACCGACTCTCATTCGGCCCTGGATCCTACGGTCGCAAAGAGCAACGCGATGTCATCCTCTGTTGCAAAATCAAAATTGGTGTTAAACACAAAGACGAAACTCCCTTTGAATTTTCCCATCGAGGAATGCGGACCGCTCATCAGGATTCTTGATTTAAGTGAAGTCGAATTTGTCACCGATACCACCGTGCAAACTATCGCTCTCACATGCCCCAATTTACGTCGCATCAACCTGAACAAATGCATCCACATATCTGACGCCGCATTGGATTCTCTTTCGGTTCATCGTTGTGCGACATCCTTGTTGTCTGTGAGCCTGAGCGGATGCCGAAAGATCACGGACGCCGGACTCAAGATGCTTTCGAAATCATGTCAAGGATTGACCTCTCTAAATATCGCCGAATGCTGCAAGATCACGGACCGGGGCGTTCAAATGGTCGCCAAGGGATGCCCGAGGCTGAGACAAGTTCGCCTCTCGGATTGTCCGAGACTCACCGATCAATCGATTGAAGCGCTGGTGATCAATTGCCCGCGTCTTTGTTGGTTGGATGTTGCTCGAATTGGTCGTATCACGGATTCGTCTGTACGACTGATTGCCAGCACTTGCCAGGAAAACTTGGAGTGGTTGAACTTGGCACGCCCTTCCCCCTGGGAGATAGCCTACTCTTCTGCATTGTCGAATCCCACGCTCCTTCCCGCACCCATCCACGCATATCGTCACGGTGATAACAATGAAGTATCGGATGGTTCAATTGCACTGTTGGCCCGACAATGTCCGAATCTTCAATTACTCGATCTTTCCTACTTAAACTCCATAACGAATAACGCCATTGACGCCATCTCAAATCACAGTTTTTCGCTCGTCTGCCTTACCATAATCGGATGTCGGCTGATAACCTGTGATTCGCTAAGATTTTTGGCACAGTTGAGGAGGAAGTCGGGACGTCTGGGTTGCATAACGATGGGCGACGCAGCCGGAATAACCGAGGAGGACATCGAGAGCATCACCAACGAGCCCGAGGGATTGTTAAGCGGATGGCAAAAAAGTTCGGTCGATGAGAACAGTTTGAAGGAAATCCTGGGCGGTGCTGGTTGGGAGGATACGGGTGCTTGGTAATATGAGGCTTGTTAAATAATATGTCGGACGATTTTTTACAGGACGATGTTCACGGGGGGGGGATTAATTCGCAGGACAATTGTTTCGAGGTGAAATGAGGGATTTGGAAAGGGTCGGTTCGATCATTTGGTTGGCGAATGAACAAAGGTACCATCACCTCTCTTTGGCAACTCAATGTTGAGGTCAACTTTCACCAAAATCGAAAACTTCCATGAGATTGTGATTACCTTTTCTCACGAATTCATCGGATCCGTGAGAATGAGATTTCGTCGTCTGCTTTCCGACATTCCTCCTTTCCCTCGAACCCACACATATACATACATATATAATATACAGTATATTTGTATCCAATATTTGGATTAATTTTGTGTAATTAGAGTTTAGCATGCATGTTAGATAACCATTACTAATCCACACGTAACATCATAATACACCTCACGATATACGGGTAATTGGCATTTGGTAATTCCTATTATTTTCACATCAGCTCGCTGATTATTAATTCGTTTGTTCCCTGAGACCTCTTTGTAAATACTTTGTTCAAAAAAAAAAAAAAATTATTAAAATTAAAATTAAAATATTAAAATAAATAAATAAAAACCCGGAACCTTAAAAAGAAAGCCAAATGTTACTTGCATCGTTCTGAAAAACGCATGTTAAAGTACTCTAGTGCTTACCTCTTCACACCCATCATCTCCTCCTTCCCTTATCGGTAGTAGAAAACAGGTTGCTCGCGTTTCGGAAAGTTTGGAATGATTGACGGGTCCTGTGGATTTCGAGATTTCGTGCCTACTATTCTTGTCTCGATAGAAACGGGAAACAATGACGTACGATTTTCTTAATGAGAGGTGCAATAATTGACAGAATTTAGCTACGAATGAGGGAAGCACGGTCTCACAAATTTTCATCACGGTTGCATTCCATAAAAGTAAAACAACCGATACATTCGAAAAAACAATTGTGTCAGCCGAGAAGTTTTAACGAATGGACACCTTTTTCGAGGGTGATCAAAAATACCGAATATTATTCAAACCACTGATTATATCTAGTTGCGTACAAAAGTAACGCCTTATTTTGCTCACGTAACCACATGAACAAATAGATATCCCTTTTATCTTTGATTGATCTGGGCAAAAAAAAAAAAATTTATTGGTTGAAATACGACACGTACCCGCACCTGGTCAGCCGATAAAAACAAAGGAAGAATCCTTCGTTTGTATGGAGACGAAATGGGTGCCTTATAACAATACGTGTGATAATTTCTTCTTTTTTTTTTTTTTTTTCGTCAAGAATTTAGAATTAAATAACATATTACGATTACTGTGTCCGTAATATAAAACTCAATTGCTAACTTTTGCATAAAGTTCAGTCAATCCTTTCTAAATCCATCCATTTCTAAATGTGCGATTTCCTAAACCACGCTTTTAAACTGAACTTGCTCTTTTTAATACAATAAATGCCGTCGCCTAGAAAAACCATTACGATTAAGCATGAACCGTGGCCACCTATGGGAGCCTTCGATTTACCATTCAAGTCCGACCTTATCCATCAAGTAAAAAAAAAAAAGAAGGAAAAACCGTTTGACAAGATACATAAAATCAAGACCCGTGAAATTTTCGTGGTGCTTATTGCCGGGTTTGGCGCTTTCAATTCCCGAGGCTCAATACTCGATTGTTCGTGAAGTTCTTGTTCTTAATATTATAACAGATTATTAAAAATTCCAAAATACGAGGTAAGTGCATTGTCGTTAAAATAGTAAACTTTAATATATACAGCATGTCAGCATGTGAGATACAGTGTATCCACGTACCGTATACTGTACAGTATATTGTAAATGAAAATTTCAAAATTTATTTGAAAACGTCTCCATTGTTTGATTCCTATTGTTTCGAGTTTCATGAATGAAGCCTTGAAGGTTCCTATATCGAAATCATTCGATTTATCGCTTGACCATTTCATCTGTTAAAAAACAACTTTTACACGTTGCATTGGTATTTTTTTTTTTTTTGTGTTTTGTTTTGTTTTTTTTTTTTTTTTTTTGTAATAATCCATCAAGTATGTGAACCGGTGATTTATATAATAATGATATTGATATCAAAGGTAATTTCATCAATATTTATTTTATTATTTAATAGCAAAATTAAAAAAAAATGATCATTAGGCTGATATATAAATTGGCAAATTTAATGGCATAACTAAATTATCAATCCATTTCTATTATTAAAATAAAATATATTTAAATTAATAATTTAATGATCTTTTCTTAATCTTTATATCAATCCGAGTTTAATATTTCAATAATTATTGAATAATAAATCTAAATTAAAAATTCATTAGAATTCTATTTCTAAACATTGAATCTGTCAAAACCCACCTAATATATCATTTATAAATACATTCAATGATTCATAATCATATATATACTTATATAAATATAACAAAAAATAAAAATTTAGATTAATTTTTTTTATGATACTTTCATTTGATTAATTTAATTATTGTAATTAATTTTTTATTTAAACTGCAACTAGATATTAAATGTAAGACTTTATTAATATTATGTTATTGTTATTACATCAATCATAACATACAAACTATATATTTCTATATATATGCAGATTAATAATAACCTATCATGACTACCTTAACTAAACCAACTTATATTCAAAAAGTGAGTCAACTTAGTTATAGATTAATTAATCAAATACTTAGTTATTAATGATAAATTTCAATTGGTTTAGTATTAAGTTTGTTAAATTTTTTTTTATAATATATACTAAACTAATATAACTATACATATACTTGATAGACTTTTTATACACTATTCAATATACTCAAATATTATTCATTTAGACCTTAGAAGAAGACACATTGTTTTTTTTGTCACTACTTATGACATCAGATTAATCTTTATTAATTGATTTTCACTTAAATGAAGTATTAGATTGAAATATTCTAAGCTAAAAAGATAAGAATCCTGGAATTTGCCAAGACAGAAGAGTCTTGAAGTATTTTATGATAAGTTAAATTAGAAGCCTTTCTTTATATAATCTTTTTGATAATACAATTTTAGACCTCAACTTTTAATCAATAAAAGATCAGAAATTTTATCTTTATATAATTTAATTTGTTTTTAATCTTGTTTCAAATAATTGGATATAATTTTTACAGAATAATCAGTAACTTAATCAAAAGATAATTTTTAATTTTTGATCTTTAAATAGTATTGAATTAAAAATCTTGTTATTGTGATCTGGAAGTACTACCATTATACTATTAATCTACAAATATTTATTGTAATTAATTTTCTTAGGCCTTATTTATCAAATTTTATTTTAAAATTTAATATATTAAAATTTGACAAATTTGAATAAAATTTGTTAAAATTTAATAATTTATAATATATTTAAAAAATGTTTTTATAAAATAATAATTATATATTATAAAAAATTTCTTTATTACTTAATAGTAAAGTTTAAAAATCCTTTATTATTGTTTACTTTTCTTAAAATTTATTTAATATTTAATAACACTTGAATATTTTTATTATTGATTATATTTTATTTAATATATTATTTATAATAAGCCATTTATCGATATCAAAAAAAAAAATAGCATATAAAATTAATAACCAAATACTGAAATAAATTAAATAAAATAAACTCTTTTTACTAATTTTTTAAAAGATATTTACAAGAAGTTTTTATACCTATTAACTAATAAAATCTTAATATTTTTCTTAAAACAACTTAAAACTTATCATTAGGAATTGATATTATCTTTATTTATTTATAAATTCTTTTAAACAAAAACTTGGTGTCTGAAAACTCAACTATACACTTTCTTTACTAAAAGCAAAAAGATTTCAAAAAGTAAAAAAATCAATTGATAAAGTACTATCTTTCAAATCTAAATATAATATAAAGATAAAGATTTTTATAGTAAAAGGTTTATTAGTTATCTTTTTATATACCATCTCTATTCTTTTTAAAGTACCTATTATTTTTTGTAGTTTTTTTTTAAAAAATTTTATTTATCTCAATTTAATTTTAAATTTTAGATAGTATAATATTATTTGATATTTGATTGCCTAAAAAATATATTGATAACAAGATATAAACAAGTTTTTATTAACTGTATTTATATATTTTAATAATATTACTAATAAAAAAAAGAAAAACTATAGATGCAAACCTCTCTATTCTTTCAAATAAAGTATAACTGGAGTAAAAAAACTATAAGATTATTAGAACAATTACCAAATTTTTCTAATAATAAAAAAATAATTATTTATTCAAGTTAAGACCTTTAACTTTTTATTATTTCAATTAGACAAAGTATGTGAAAAGGATTATTTTCTTATCTCAATCAAGCTTAAAATCAAAAATAAAAGATCTTAAGTTACTATTTTTCTCTAAATTTAAAATAGATTTTTTTAATATTATATAATAATATTATAATTAACAAAAATTCTTTTACTTTTCAAGACTTTTTTATTATTGCAAAGTAAAAGAATTATTGAAAAATTTAATTTTTTAAATAATGAAAGATAATTACCAATAAAATTTCTTTAATTAAATATGGTTGTTAGAAAATATTAAAAGTTATATATTATAACTAAAAAGTTATATATGAAATTTATCTTTTAATACATATGATCCGGTTAGCATAATTATTAATCATAAATAACAAAATTGCTTGTGATACATTGGGCAAATATATTATAGCTAAACTAAATCTTATTCCAACTCACTTGTCAATGGCTTTCAATTCTCAAATGAGCTTTAGCCTCTAAGTGTGACCTTGGAAACAATATTTCACTTCAGGATAAGTTCTAAATAAAGATTCTTCCAACTTACACATTATTGCCAACAGGTCATCACTACCTATTATCCTCCAAGGAACTGATTTTGAAAATTACAATAGGAGAAAGAGAAAATAAAAAAAAAGAATATATCTAAAAGTATACAATTATATATATATGAAGAGAAAAAAATAAG